TGAGGACAACATGAAGGAGCCATCAATCCTTGCTCTGAGAAGAATGGAGGCATTACAAGACAGGTAAGCGTGGAGTACAATAGCTTATTAGTCTTACATTGATATCAAAAATTGCAGACGTGCTATTCCATTGATATCGAAAATTGCAGATGCGTGTTAAGTCAGTTGATTGGAGCAGTAGTTTAGAATATCACCTCGTCTAACGTCAGAAGTCCGATTTTGCAGGTTGGAAAGAAGTGTGAGCAGCACAGAAAGAACAAGGGAGAGTGCCAGCAAGAGGTACAGGGATTTTCAGATCCCATGGGAATGGATGCTGGACACAGGGGTGATGGGTCAGGTAGGTAGATAACTATGGCTTACCAATAACTTTAATTTGGCAATCATTCAGATAATAATTTATGAAAGAGTTAATCCTATGTTTACTTTTGACTTCCATTAAAGTGGTACTAAATTGTGGTTAATTAGAGCCCAAGTGACTAAATATCTACGCTTTTTAGCCGAGATCAATTTTTTTGCACTCTATCATTGAATGATACGAGTTAAATTTATGTCAACAGAGTTAAAAGAGGGTTAAATTTATGACAACAAAGTTAAGGAGGGTTAAATTTATGATACTAGAGTTAAGAAGAGTTCAACTTATGAACACGTGTCAATCAATGATAGGAGCCACAGAAAAGCCCACACAAAATAAAGGCAAAAGATTTGAACTCTTTCTAGCTAAGCAAACCCCCATCTAGTTTCAACTTTCGATTGATTAACAATGATGTGGAAGCTATAAAATTTGAAAATTGTGAACATGAATTGACAACACTATTCTACGAGACTGTAGATAGCAGTTCGCGAATAATAAGAAAGTTGTTATTAACACTCTAAGATAATATTTTTTCACTCCACGACTATTTCAGAGTGCTAACGACAATACCCGAGGAGTGGATTTGAAGCAAGGGGTGGATTCACGCACATTCATTTGAAAACATCTCATTTCACTGAAAACCATCGATTGATACAAACTGTATATCTTGTACACATAACTATTTGCAGATGAAACTGAGCTCACTGAGGCTAGCCAAGGAGTACATGAAGAGGATTACTAGAGAAGTGCAGTCCAGTGAATGCTCAAGAGAAGAAAATCTCCTGCTTCAAGGCGTCCGATTCGCTTTCCGGGTACACCAGGTAGTGAAATGCTTCACAAACGCCGTTCCAAATTTCTTGACCTACTGTTAATTCGTTACACCAGGTACTCACACGCAGAAGATTCAGTTTGCAGGTGGTTTTGATTCGGAGACGGTACTTGCATTTGAGGAACTAAAGAAGATAGGCGCGAATAGTAGAAGAAATGGCACGATTTAGCGCACTCTATACGTACTTGAACCTAGAAATTGATCGATGGGGGGTGTAAGCAGATTACTTGTAGCAGAAAATGCGTTTGTAAAATGTCCAACATATAATGTGTTTGAAAATATTATACTGGTAAAACTCCGAGATAATCTAATTTGAATTGGGTGCGACAGGCTTCACTCAGGGAAATTCTCCGATTCGGCGGAAGACCACGTCGTCCGTCGGACCACTCTCACAAAAAGCGTAATCCCTCCTTTTAGGGTTCCACCATTTATGCTTCCTCAACTAGCATGCACACTGAACATCACCGGAGTCCTTGAACAGTAAACAAGAATTTGATCGATACTCCGCTACTTAATTCCACATGGATGCAAAGAATCGAAATCAATAATACTAGACACACCGACTCTTTTACCAACTACCTGTACTTCTAGGCAAGAATGTTTCTACTTCTAGATATAAAAACATAACGCGGATCATCGTTAATCCTCTTCATTAAATCTGAATCCACTACCTTTTCTCAAAATTCCTTGCGCATGTTCTAGATTACGCCAGTGGACCACGTCACCTGTCCGACCACACTCACAAAGAGCATAACTCCTTATTTGGGTCACAAAAGATAGAAATTCTAGCATAGGGAAACCAGAACCCCTATGTCCCAGACAGAACAACCACCTTACACCACACCCTCAATTGTTTATACCAACCCCTACTCCACTCTTTGATCCCACCCTTTTTTTGGTCCTAGTTTAGTTTTCGGACGAAAGAGGGTGGGATAAAAAATGGGGTAAGTGTGAAGCTGAAAATCAAGGAGGTAGGGTAGGGTGGTTCTTTGTGTCTTGACCATATGGTTGAGCTGATCCGGTGCAAAACCGTAGAATTTCTTCCTCCTCAAGACACCAAATGCTTGTCCAACACAATGCAGGGGATTCAATTTTTATGAGTATGGTTGGACCAGTAACGTGGTACACCAACCAAACCTAGCAAGCATACCAGTTCATCAAGATACATATATAAGTGCCTCATTCTCTTGGTCACAGATTAAGGATTCATGGTCAAACACCCTTGAGATTTTATATCAAGAGTTTGAGATTTAAAAGCTCATTCATTTAATCTCCACCCATGATCAAAATCTAATGGTGGATGACTACACATTCCTTGGTCACCAAACATTTCTTAAAAACATACTTTGGATATTCATAATCCTCCTAAACAAATCTGAATGAATGTTGCTATACACAACAACCTTACATGAATTTGTGATCTGTATTTTGGTTATAAGATAGGTGGAAAAGTAGCGAACATAGCAGCACTCATCCAAATCCGCCAGACTACAATAAGATAAAGAGGTTCCAAGTTCTGAAAAATTTGTGAACGCACAAGACTACGAAAAGTTGAGGAAATTTCTTACAAATGAGAAGCTTACGAAAGGGTTGGATGACTTTTTTTCTTTCAAATTTATGTTTGGAGAATAATTTAGGAAGGATCAATGATGGATTTTATGTAATGATCCGTCCCCAAATATTACGAACCGTAATATTTGGGGACAAGTCGTTACATTTTAACCAGCACTTTCCCTAAAACTTCCCCCATTTTTCTAAGAATAAAAAACCAACTCTTATATCTTTCCTAGAACTTCCCAAATTTTGAAAAATCCTCAATCCATTTGCAAAATTCGAGAAATCCTCAAACTTTTCACCAAATTCAAATGGATGTTTAGGGTTAACCAAACTAATTGATTTCTACCCAAAATTTAACATTTTACTCAAATAAACCCCAATGTAAAAAATCCACAAAAACAAATCAAACATGTAAAATCACAATTTCTTCAAAACAAAGCAATCCTCATAGCCAAATTATAAAAAGCAGTCAAATTTCAATTAAATAGTAAGAAATGTAGCAAAGATAAACAGATAAAAACACAAAAGGTTTCACATTAATTCTAAACAAACCGCTAAGTCTGCCAAGATCCAAAACCCTGAGGGACAGAAGAACCGCCATGCGAACGAGCTCCACGCAGCTGCTCCTCTCACTTAGATCTCTGCCTCATCTTTCGGCGCTTCCTCTTCAACCTCCTCATCCTCTTCTTCTTCCACTGCAATTAAACAGCACCAATTACATGAGATTGATCTATCAAGATTGGAGACTAAGGCCTTGTTTGGCAAAGCTTATAACTTATCATAAGCACTTTCAGGAAAAGCTAAAAAATTTGGATGCAGAAATGTGAACCGGTTATAGTTGTTACCTTAGCTCTCATGGCGTCAAAGCGAGACTGGAAACCCTTGCGGTCTTTGTTGGAGGTCCTCCGATGAGAACCGGCGGGTGAGAAATGGGTGTTGTGTTGTTGTTGGAGTGAGGCAGTGAGGGGGAGGTTAGCGTTTATAAGCAAAACCCTAGCTGTGTTTTGGGCCGTTGGATGTAATCCGAGGGACATGGGCTCGAGCCCGGTAAGAATTAAAGGGCATTAGTGGGCCATCCTCTAAATAACTAGTCCTATGTTGTTGTTTGGGCCGTGGCCCGTTATTATTGTCACTGTATACATCAGAGTAAATTGAAATTTTAGAGCTCGTTTGGAACAACTTCTTTTACACGTATTTCTGCTTAGAATTACTTTTAAGTAAAAAGACTTCTATTAAAAGTATATTAAAATTTTAATAAAAGGAAGTACTTCAAGTATTTTGTTTGAACCTAGAAGCATTTCTAACATTTTATGTCATACAAATGGTTTCGATAATTTAAAGCAGTTTTAGTTATTTTAAAAATATTTCTAAATAGATCGATGTGCTTTTAAATGACTGTAAACTCTTTTAAAGAAATTATTTTTGAATTTCAAAAATATTTAAAATGTTTTGCTAAGTACATTTTCAGAATTTACTTGTATATTTATTATTAAAAGCACCTCATTGTTATTCTAATGGCCCCAAAAGCGCGCATTACTATTCGCGACATGAGATAAAAATATGCTTCTTAGAGAATTCAAAATACTAATTCCTTGGAATATAATTGCTTTTTTACCAAAAAAAAAAAAGACTATAATTTACCTGAATATTCTATTGGTCCCAAGCATATATCCAAAGTTATGTTGCTAATTAATCTGCCGTTCATCAAAATTTTTTGGAGGATATTTGTTATGAAATTTGATATAGAAGCAAGAACGAGAATTCGAACACCAAACTTCTTTCAACAACTCCAAAAAATCTACTAGACTAATAATTATGGAAATTAGAGATAAATAAGTCGTTTCATTTTCAACTTTTCCAAAATGGAAAGTTTTGTTGACTTTATATCGTCATTCTAAAAAATAAATCAGTTTTAAAAATAAATAAATCAATCATTGATAAAAAAAAAAAAAAAAAGTAGTTGGCCTAACATAATCAAAGCGTTTGACAATGCATAAGATCTATATTGTTCTAATCAATAACAAGAGGAGATTCAAACTTCAGTCATCTTCTAGTTTTCAGAAGAAGAAATTTTTTTGTAAATAGTCGATTGAGATATTTACATTGTTAGATCGTTAATTCGAATCACTAATCTGATCGATTCTAATCTAAAGCACCACGACACATGTTAGTCCAGTACCAAAACACGTGTCACGCACAAGAAGCGAATGTATCTTAATACAACAAGGATAGAGAGTATTAATAATATATATTCAATATATTAATTTCACAGTCAAATTTTCCAGTGTAATTTGATATGATTTGATTTTACAACTACTCCTTCTAACGTACCGGCGAAGGCCTCAGCCGTGGCGGTGACCCCATCATCAAACTAGAAAGCTAATCCAATCCAACCCGAGGCCGGCAGCATATAAATTCAATCCAATCCAAATTTTTTCCAATCCCACTCATTTTCCATCTCTAACTCTCCACTCCCGTTCTATCCAATCCCAAAAACTCGCACCACAAAGCGCACTCACCACCATTCTGAGCAGGGAGAGAGGAGAGAGAGAATGGGGACTGGTGCGTCCAAGAGGACGGACGACGGCTCGCACGGCGGCCATGAGCCGGAGGAGGAGGAATATTTGGACCAGGGAGGTGGGCAGCTCTACGTGTCGCTGAAGATGGAGAACAATTACAAGCTCAAGAAATGCGAGCTCCTCCCTCACGTTTTCGGCTCCGTCCCGCTCGTTGGCTCTTGGGATGCTTCCAAAGCTGTAATCTTCCTACGAATTCAATCCAATTAGTTCGCTGACTATCTATTAGTTAATCCCGTTTTTGTTTTCTGATTGCTGATTGATGCAATTGTTTGTATTGAATGATTGTTAGCTTTCAATGGAGCGGGAATCGACTTCCATGTGGGAATTGAGCTTTGTTGTTCCTCCGAATCATGGTAATTTATGATTCCGCTTTCGATTTTCGACTTGTAATTCTGAGCCTTGAATTGCTGTACTAGTATTTGCTTAGTTTAACTCTGTTTCCATTGTGGAGTGGAAAGATGTTGGCTTTCGATTTCTGATATGATTGGTTTTGTTGTATTCGAACTAGAAACTTTGGACTTCAAGTTCCTTTTGAAGCCAAAGAACAATGCGCCTGCACCTTGTGTTGTGGAGGAGGGTCCGAACCGCCAACTCATTGGAGGGGCCTTGCAAGGGGATCGAAGGCTGGCTATATTTAGGCTTAGCAGTGATGAGGTTCTTGAGTACCGGGTGTTCATTAAGGCAGATAGGGTATCGCCGTTTGATCTTGCAGCCAGTTGGAGGGCTTATCAGGATAACCTTAGGCCTTCTGCTGTTCGTGGAATTCCTGATGTCAGTTTAGGTACAGTGCCAGAGATAGGTGCCGAGGTGCGTTCCAAGTCAGAAGCTTTGCATCTCTCTAATTGCTCATTCATTGTATTGACATTTTATCGGTTGTAATTGCGGTCCTGGTTGGCTCAAAGTGAGGTTATTAGATTGTTTCCATACCTGTTTAAGAAGCTTTTGACCATTTTCGTTGGTTGGCTCAAAGTGGGGTTGTTGTATATGCAGAATGGCTCTTCAGCTAGTTTGGAGCTTGACCTCGAATATTATGTCGTTCCAGCTCCTTCAACTTCTGCCAATTCAGGTCATGTTTACGCAGCTAACATGACAGAGACTCCAACGTCATTAAATCTTCCTGGAGTTTTTACCAATGCAGATGGCTCTACCAGTGCTTCACAAACCTTCAAGGATAGTGGTGTTTCAGCAGATCGACATGCAGCTACAAAGGTTTATCATATTACCTGTGTGCCTTTTTTTTTAAGTTTTATTTACTTCTAAATTATATTATCTCTCTCTCTCTCTCTCTCTCTCTCTCTCACCACTATCTAACATCTATCTATTCTTAACTTCTCATTGTTTTATTGCAATTTGAGCAGAACAACTTTTACAATAAGAGGCTCTAATCATATTTTGGTTCTCGGACAATATTTGACTCTGGAGAATTTTAATACATTGTACCGTAAGCATACCTCTAATTCAAAGTTTATGCAGGAGATGGAGGTTGTTATCCCAGATTCATCCAATCTGTCTTCTTCCTCTGGGATGGTTGAATCAAAGTCAGTGGGAACGTTTTCACCTTTCCAAAAGCAAGATAGTCACAGGGGTCTCTTTGTTGATAGGGGTGTTGGAGCTCCTAGGCTAGTTAAATCTTCTAGTACTAGTACTTTCTCTGAGTCCAGATTTGATACAGAAAAAAAGGTCTGTAAGGATTAGCATTTTGCCTCGAAGATTATCAAAAGTTAACTCATCTTCTATCTGCAGTGGGTGTTGTTCTGAAACTCTATCTTTCTATATTTTATATCAGAATTCAATTCCAGAAGCTGCTGGAGCCGTTGCAGCTGCAGCCGTAGCTGATCAAATGCTTGGACCAAAGGAAGATAGGCATTTGGCAATTGTCCTGGTATTGCCCTGCATGAGTGATTGGCCACACAGCTTAGAACTTGATAAATATAATCATCTTCTTATTGTTGTTTCTTAGTTTACTTCTTGGTAATTATAAAATTGAACGTATTACTTAGTAGCCTAAAAGCTGAAACATAGAAGGTTTCATTTTGGTTGATTAAAAATTTGTTCATGAGCACTAGAGCAAACAGTTCTAACAAGTTTTACATACTTCAGGTTGGTTTGCCTGCTCGTGGAAAAACTTTTACAGCAGCTAAGCTTACAAGGTATCTCCGCTGGTTGGGTCATGATACCAAGCACTTCAATGTTGGAAAGGTTACTACTTTTTTATGACTGACAATTGTTTGTTGTATTCGTTGTTCGAAATATATGAAGATGGAGACCAACATGCCTTTTTTGTCTTTTTTGTTGCAGTACCGCCGTCTTAAGCATGGAGCTAATCAGGTAAAACTATAGGTTGTTGAAAGTTTGATTTGCTTGATTAATTGGCAGAGATTTTAGAAGTCATTAGTGGTTAACTTGTTATCTGTTGACTGATGAGTCATCCTACAAAATGCAATCTATTTGTCTTGCTGCCTAACTTTTTCATCACTAGAATCTTTGTTTAAACTTTGCAAACATGTCATGTGGTATTCATGTGTCAAAAGAAATTAGACATGGTTCCGCAATAGTGAAGATGTGGGTGGAGATATAAATTTAAACAATGTTTAAATTATTAATCGAATAGTTCTTGGGTGCCCTGCAAAATCTCACCATATTTTATTCATGCAGACTGCTGATTTTTTCCGACCTGACAACCCTGAAGGCATAGAGGCACGTAACGAGGTGAATGTCCTTGGATTTTCTTTCTTTTAGACTTCATAAATCATGATAGATTCTCCTGCTTAGACAAGACACAACTTGAACGGATGTTTCTCAAGTGAAAGAGATGAGGTCTTATGAGAAACACGAAATAGAATACAATCCTAATGAAGTGAAAACACTTTGAGAGTCAGCACTTTTAGCGTATATCAGTCAGGTCTTAGTGCACAACAGTCTATAGGTGCTTATAACTCTGAGTGTTCGTGCTTAAGAATAATACTATTTAGAGGAAATTGGATTTCATTGGGCAAATGCTATAAGTTAACACAATATTAATCTTTTTCTTTGTACATAGTTTTAATATATCACGTGCTACTAGGTAGCTGCCCTGGCATTTGATGACATGGTTTCTTGGATGCAAGAAGGTGGCCAGGTAAGTCCTTCTACATGAGTGATATTGATCTCTACTGGTGTCTGCTTAATCCTTTCTTTTTAACAAATCCAACTGGATTATAGGTAGGAATATTTGATGCCACAAACAGTACAAGGAAACGGAGAAATATGCTCATGAAATTGGCTGAAGGAAAATGCAAGGTACTATGAGTATTGCGTGGAGTGACAGTTCCCATATGACATTGTAAAAACTTGGTCTTAAGCTCTTCTTGTACATGTTTGTTTATTAATGGTTATATATTTCTTTGCAGATTATTTTTCTGGAAACGTTATGCAACGATGAACGCATTATAGAAAGAAATATACGTCTTAAAATTCAACAAAGCCCTGATTATGCAGAACAGTATGGTTTAGACCTCGACCATTAGTTCCTTTTCTTGATGGATTCTGCGGTACATTAATTGTTGCCCCTCTGCAGGCCAGATTTTGAGGCTGGACTACAGGACTTCAAAAATCGACTGGCTTATTATGAAAAAGTACTTCCCTAAACATATATTATTAATTGTTTGGTGACGTTTGGTCTGTAACTTTTCTTATTATCATATTTAGATTAACATTTATGCTGCCACTGCTAGGTTTATGAGCCAGTAGAAGAAGGATCATACATCAAAATGATAGATATGGTCAGTGGACATGGAGGCCAACTACAAGTAAGTTCACATGATTTTTGTATTGTTCTCTTGAAGAGTAGTGAACTGCGGTAATTATATCTGAACATGCTCTTAGGACATGGTTGTGTTTTGTCTGTTCAAGAGGTAGATATAATGATGCAGAATGCATCTCCTAATTCTACTTGGATTAGCTTTCCTTTTATTAGTTTTCCTATTTTAGTTAAGAATTCCCCGTTGTTAAAGGATTTCTTATTAGTTAAATTGCTTTCCTAATTTTTCAAAGTTTGTCTCTATAAATAGAGCAGATTGTAATCTTTTAATTTAATTTTGATGAATGAAAAATCTCCTTACTAGAACTCCCTGATTTCTTCCCCTTTCCCTTCGTCTCCTCGACCCCTAATTCGTCTCCTCGATCTTTTACTTCTTCTCGGTCCCGTCACACCCTTGTTCACCCTAATACTACCGCAGTTCTACATCAATTTGGTAATCAGAGCCTACAATCCCTTTCGTTGGCGTTTGATCCCTGCCATGGCACCCCAAACCGTGGCCAACCTTGCAGAACAATGTCATACGTTCCAAAACAAAGTCACGGACGATATCGCGGGCATAGAAACCCAACTCTCTAAACTCAGCACTGACCTCAAAGAAGAGTTGGTACAGGCTCACGCCCATCGTTCAACGACGGACCTTGCCATCACTAAACTTCAAAACTCCGTTCAGTTACTTATCAACCACTTTCGGGTTGAACACGCTGCAACTTCGTCTTCCTCCACAGTGATCCCAAGCTCGTCTACGCCACCACCAACAAGTGGCCTTTTGCCCACTCCACCGGTGGATCCTAAATTAAAGGCAGTGTCCTACGGAATGCCGCTTAGCTCCACTGGGTCTATGCCGCCACTCCATTATACTCAACACACAATAGGTCCTCCTCCAGTGACTCCTCAGGCTCTAAACCCTCCCACCCGCTCCACATGATCAGTACCCTCCTCCACCTCGCCAGTTTGACAACGAGATCATCCGCCACATCAAACCTATCGCTCCTACTTTTGATGGTCGTGGGGATCCTACGATGTTTCTTGATTGGATCCAAGCCCTGGAAGATTATTTTGCTTGGTATGATTTGACGGATGCTTATAAACTACGCATTGGTAAGATGACATTACAGGGAGCCGCTAGACAATATTGGAATTCCGTGGAGGAGCAACTATACCAACTGGGACAACAGCCTGTGACTCTTTGGGACGAGATGAAATTCAAGCTTCGCGAACAATATCTTCCTACATTTTATCGCCATCAATTGTATGATCAGTTATGGACCCTTTCACAAGGAAGTTTTACCGTTACAGAATTCCACGCTCGTTTTATTGAACACAAAAATACGTGCGGGGCTTCGTGAAGAACCCGACATCACCATGTCTCGTTTTATTCATGGTCTTCGGGACGATATCAAGCGTGAAGTCCGTCGGTTCCGTCCGTATACTTTGGAAGATGCATATTGCCATGCATTGGAAGCTGAAACCTTTTTGCGGCCACAACGTAGGTACACCGGGACTCCCGGGTATCCTTCCACTTCTGCTCCAAACCGCAGTAATCCAAGCTCCAAATATGGCATCACTGGTCCACCTGCTCCCACGGTACCTGCCACAGAGAAGGGACCAGCCCTATCCACGGCTACTCACCTCGAATGCTATCGTTGCCATGCTAAGGGCCACATCGCCTCTCGTTGCCCCCACAGAACTTTAAATATTAGCTCCAACACTGAGGACCCTCGTGTGGACGAGTATGTGGAGCCCCTTGAACCTATTTATGATCCCGACCTTGATAATTGTTGTGAGGAAGAAGCATTGCAACAACTGAGTGTTATGCGTTGTATTTATTCAGCATCTACACCTCCACCTCCTGATTCATGGAAACGCACAAGTATCTTCCAGACTTATGTCCCTTGCGGTACCACTCGATGCCAGCTAGTTATTGATGGGGGAAGTACGCTGAATGTTATTTCTAAAGCTGCCGTCGATCGTCTTCACCTTCAGGCCGAACCACATCCCCATCCTTTTCAAGTCGGCTGGGTAGATAAAACTAGGTTACCTGTTACTGAAAGATGTCTTGTTCCTCTTCAATTGGGTCCCTGTCACGAGAAACTTTATTGTGATATCCTACCTATGAGTGTTGCACATGTGCTACTAGGCCGGCCTTGGCTTTATGACCGTAACGTCAAAAGTTGCGGCCGAGAGAACACCTATACTTTCCAACATGAAGGGAAAAACATAACACTCAAGCCTTCCAACCCAGCCATCAAACCAATTAAGGAGGTTCAACCGATACTGCCCTTAAACGGGAAGGCTTCGGAGCATCGTTTAAGTATCTTATCACCTGTAGATTTTACACATGAACTACAAGACACGGGTGTGGTCTTTGCTCTCTTGCTTAAACCGGTCTCCAAATGTACCCCCACTCCATTTGCCGAACCCATACGGCAGCTACTCACGGAATTCTCTGATGTTATACCTGAGGACTTACCAGATGAACTACCTCCAGCACGAGAGATTCAGCATGCCATCGACCTTGTTCCTGGTTCACAACTTCCTAACCTTCCCCATTATCGTATGAACCCACCTGAGCGAGCGGAATTAAATCGACAAATCCAGGGGTTGCTGGCTAAGGGTTTTATTCGTCATAGTTTAAGTCCTTGTGCTGTTCCAGTTCTCCTTACACCAAAAAAAGATGGCTCCTGGCGAATGTGTGTGGATAGTCGCGCCATAAATAAAATTACAGTTAAGTATCGTTTCCCAATACCGCGACTTGAGGATATGTTGGATGATTTGGCTGGTTCCCAATGGTTTTCTAAGATAGATCTTCGCAGTGGTTACCATCAAATCCGAATTCGTGAAGGAGATGAGTGGAAAACCGCGTTTAAAACCCCTGATGGTTTATATGAGTGGCTTGTTATGCCCTTTGGCATGTCCAATGCACCTAGCACGTTTATGAGGGTGATGACTCATGTGTTACGGCCCTATATTGGCAAATTTCTGGTGGTTTATTTTGATGACATCCTTGTATACAGCCACTCTCGAGAAGAACATCTCAAACATCTTCACTCGCTCTTCTTTACATTACGAGCGGAAAAACTGTATGCTAACTTACCCAAATGTTCGTTTCTTCAACCGCAAGTTCTATTTTTGGGGTTCAATATTTCTGCAGCTGGGGTTAGCACCGATCCCACTAAATTGGAGGCTATTACTCGTTGGCCAACACCTACGACATTAACAGAGGCACGCAGCTTTCATGGTCTCGCCTCTTTTTATCGCCGATTTATTCCCGGGTTCAGTACTATTATGGCACCAATAACTGATTGCATGAAACAAGGAGCGTTTCTTTGGACCCCTGCAGCTGCCACGGCCTTTACAATTTTGAAGCAAAAGATGAGTCAAGCACCTGTTCTTCGACATCCTGATTTGACTAAAGTCTTTGAAGTGGCATGCGACGCTTCCGGAGTCGGAATTGGTGGCGTGCTTAGCCAAGAAGGACATCCAGTAGCCTACTTTAGTGAGAAACTTAATGCAGCAAAGCAACGTTATTCTACTTATGACAAGGAGTTTTATGCTGTGGTACAGGCCCTTCGGTATTGGCAATATTACCTATTGCCAAACGAATTTGTGCTATATTCCGATCATCAAGCTTTGAAATATCTCCACTCTCAACGCACCATCAGCAGTCGACATGTCAAGTGGTCCGAATATCTACAGATCTTTACGTTTGTTTTACGACACCGTCCAGGCATTGACAATAAGGCAGCTGATGCCCTTAGTCGCGTGGCTACTATTTTGCACACAATGACAGTTGAGGTCACTGGGTTTGATCGTATTAAGGCCGAGTATTCGTCGTGTCCAGATTTTGGAATTATTTTCCATGAAGTTTCCAACGGTAACCGTCGTGAGTATGTGGACTTTATTACAAGGGATGGGTTCTTGTTTCGGAAAACCCAATTATGCATTCCTCGTACTTCTCCTCGTGAATTCCTTATTTGGGAACTACATGGTGGTGGTTTGGCTGGACATTTTGGTAAAGATAAAACCATTGCCTTGATGGAAGATCGTTTCTATTGGCCGTCGTTAAAACGTGATGTTGCTCGGCTCCTCTCCCAATGCCGCACATGCCAGCTAGCTAAAGCTCGCAAACGTAACACAGGTCTGTATACCCCTCTACCAATCCCTCATGCTCCTTGGAAGGATATTAGTATGGATTTTGTGCTTGGTTTACCTAAGACTAGTCGCGGCCATGACTCTATCTTTGTCGTAGTTGATCGCTTTTCTAAAATGGCGCATTTTCTACCTTGTGCCAAAAATACCGATGCTTCTCATGTGGCCAAATTATTTTTTAAGGAAGTAGTTCGTTTGCATGGCCTCCCTGTCTCTATTGTTTCTGATCGTGATGTCAAATTTGTTAGTTATTTTTGGAAAACCTTGTGGAAGCTTTTCGGGACTACTTTGAAGTTTTCCTCCGCTTTCCATCCCCAACGGATGGACAAACGGAGGTGGTTAATCGCAGTCTTGGAAATTTACTTCGCTGTTTAGTTGGGGATAAGCCTGGTAATTGGGATCTCTTGTTGCCTGTGGCTGAGTTTGCTTATAACAACTCAGTTAATCGAAGCACCGGTAAAAGTCCTTTTGAGGTTGTTCACGGGTTTTCTCCCCGATCACCTGTGGATCTAGTTGCTCTTCCTATGGCTGCCCGCGCCTCCGACTCTGCTACGTCGTTTGCTGAACATATTAGACAACTGCATGATGACGTCCGTCGGCAAATAGCCATGCACACCGACAGTTATCAACTGGCCGCCAATGCTCATCGTCGTCACCAAGAGTTTCAGCACGGGGATTTTGTTATGGTGCGGATCTGTCCTGAGCGTTTTCCTAAGCAATCTTTTAAAAAGCTTCATGCTCGTTCGATGGGTCCTTATCGTGTCCTTAGGAAGCTTGGGTCCAATGCTTACTTGATTGAGTTACCTGCCACGATGCAGATCAGTCCCATTTTTAATGTCTCTGACTTATCTCCTTATCGGGGAACCTTTTCTCCACCTCTGTCGATGGATGTTGCTCAGAGTTCCATTCCTCCTATGGCACCACGACTTCCGTCCACTATTTCTGCCCCTACAGAGCAGATTGCTGACGTTTTTGGATCATGAAGTTGTGACTTCGTCTACTGGAGGATCGACCCGTTATCTGGTTCGTTGGGTGGGAAAGCCTGCTACTGAGGATACTTGGATTACAGAAGCTGAATTTCGCGAGTTGGATTCCAGTCTTTTGCACCATTATCAGGATGCTCTTCAGGATCTTGATTTGGCAGCATCCCGTCCTCCTATCATCCATACTTACAAACGTCGTCGTTGTCCTTAATATTGGCTTACTCGCCTGTGTCGAGTTCTTTTCAGTAGGGGAGAATGATGCAGAATGCATCTCCTAATTCTACTTGGATTAGCTTTCCTTTTATTAGTTTTCCTATTTTAGTTAAGAATTCCCCGTTGTTAAAGGATTTCTTATTAGTTAAATTGCTTTCCTAATTTTTCAAAGTTTGTCTCTATAAATAGAGCAGATTGTAATCTTTTAATTTAATTTTGATGAATGAAAAATCTCCTTACTAGAACTCCCTGATTTCTTCCCCTTTCCCTTCGTCTCCTCGACCCCTAATTCGTCTCCTCGATCTTTTACTTCTTCTCGGTCCCGTCACACCCTTGTTCACCCTAATACTACCGCAGTTCTACATCATATAACTAATGGATTTCGACATTTCTAAATCTTCTGAAATTATTAAGCGTGTTATTGTTGAACCTCCTACATATATGTAAATTCAATTTAATGCAACTAGGTTCTTTGCCCTTTAGAATCCTTGGCCTAGATTTTCATGCGTGTGTAGCTTTGACTTTTGATTCATATCCACTCAGAAGCTTTCTATTTTGGTTCAGGTGAACAACATCAGTGGCTATCTTCCCGGACGAATTGTTTTCTTCCTGGTATGTTATTCGCTGAAGAATATAGTTCAGTATTGGTATAACTCATACTCCTATTCTTTCAAGGCTTTTATACAATGATGGGAATCTTAAGGCCCTTTGGGTATCCTCCTTAAAGACTATGATCATTCTTAAAAATGCGAGTTCCCAAATACAAGATTAAAGATTCAAAACCCTCTTTTTTGAATATCTGACATATAAACCTATGTTTAAATCTTTTAACATAACCACCAGATCTGCCAACACCAACTTCAGATTTGAAGTAATGATCTAATCACCATGATGAACAACACAACCATTAGATTGTGGTAGTAGCTCCGGGACTTTTGGCGGAGCCAAAGCAGTAATTGCGGTGATGACAAAGCAGAGAATAGAGAGGAAAATAGAGAGAAGAGATAGGATTTGCAAAGACAGAAAGAAGAAATAGAGAGATCGTCCTTAGTTTCTTAAGGCAGAGAAGAGAGAGGTTTCAAGAGAAGATAGAGATGAGAGAGCTGCTGAAACAAAAACTCTAAAACCTTACATTTTGTGTTTTTAAAAAGTGGGCCTCTTTTTGAGTTTTTTTTTTTTTGTTGGACTTTGTGCAAACAAACTAATAACTCGAAAAATTTGTTTTTGAGTTTGAAAAGTTGGAACCAGGTTGTATACCAAATAGGCCCTTATTTTCGTCTGTTATAGCCAAGAATATGGTTCTTTGGCTTTGCAAAAGAAGAATTCTATTTTCTCACGTTTTCTTCATTGGGACTCAGTAATTCTCTTAAAATGGGTGATCTCTTTCCAGGTTACTTCAATCTTGATTGCTAGACTTCGAAATTATTATCATTGCATAAAACTAACAATCTGTCATATAATATGTATAACAATCTGACCATAATCTGTTGGAACTGCACTTGATGAAATTACAGTTAACCATCTTAGTAAAAGGTTCCTCTTTTAAATTGCACCTTTAATTACCATACCAAAATCTTACGTTGATTATCCCCAAGCCCCAAACGCCCTCCCCACCCCCAGCACCTCTTTTGCGCTCCTTTGGCACTCTTTTTTTTGGTCATTTTGTCTCTTTATACTTTGGTCATGTATTCATATATTTCTGGTACACTTTGTAGGTGAATACACACCTCACTCCCCGCCCAATATTACTTACTAGGCATGGAGAGAGTATGGATAATGTTAGAGGCAGAATTGGAGGAGACAATCCTTTGAGGTTTGCCTTTGCTGTTGATTATCTTGATATAATAATACTGGTTTATTCGTGTTAAAATATTCATTTAGTATAGTAACCGCTCAAACTTATCTGATCCTCAATTCTATTCTCGTTTTATAACTCGTAAGTATGCTGCTATTCATGTTTCTATTTACTAACATACAATGGTGTTGCTCCCGCCACAGTTTCATTTCAGTCCTATTATACAATTTGGTTTTGCCTCGTTATAAGACCTGTTCCTTTGATTTTTTTCTACTTTCTTCATAATGCATTTTAAATTCCACGTAAATTTTGTTTTTTGATGGTTGTCAATGCTGGGTTGTGAGTTACCAAATGATATTCCTAATTGTTTCAACAGTGATACCGGAGAAATTTATGCAAAGAAACTTGCTAACTTTGTTGAAAAGCGACTGAAATCAGAACGGGCTGCTTCTGTAAGCTTCAGCAATATCTAATGTTCAGTTTGAATTTTGTTGCTTTCCATATGAAGTAAATGCTTGCTGTGGGTTGATCCTTGTTTCTCACGTAGTATACATATATCTATTAATCCCAAAAAACAAGTCTACATCTCTCTCTTACTAAAACATGCTTTGACCATGGGTGGTGTGATGGATAAAGCTAAATGTTAATTAGAAGATATATAATATCAGCTGTTTAACATTGGAAAACTATATAGTATGCTTTTGAATGTACATTTACTAACTTTTGTTTTAAGAATCTAGAAAGAAAATACTTCAAAATCAGACCAACATAATTGAGGATTGACCATGAGTGGTGGAGATGCAACCGGGATTTAATGCAAACAAATATTTTATGCTTACTGATTATCTTACTAGTGAACATATTTTAATGTCTGGGTTTTTTTCTTCATGGTATGTAGCATATGTAAGGGGTGCAGCCATGTCCTTGACATCACTTCTCAACTTTGTTGTTTGAAAGTTTAGCATTTTGATTTTTTGTTCATTTGTTTTCTAACTTTTCTTTCACTGTCCCTTGACTGAATGCATAATACGTGAGTATAATGAATAATACTACTTTTTCTTCATGCTGTTCAGATTTGGACTAGCACACTGGAGCGAGCAATATTGACAGCAAGTCCCATTGTAGGATTTCCTAAGGTTAGTGTGCATCGTTTAGAATGTCATAAAATTCTGTAGCCTCTCAAGTTTTATACATTTAAGACTACCAATAGTCCCAGAAATTTAAATATAATTAAGCATAGTTGGTTTATGGTTCTTTACAATTTTGGTAGATACAATGGCGTGCACTGGATGAGATAAATGCTGGAGTCTGTGATGGAATGACGTATGAAGAGATAAAGAAAAATATGCCGGACGAGTATGAGTATGTTACACTATTCTCTAAGTTAGAAGTGGTCTTTGTTGTTTGCTAATATATGTTTGACTGCAGAGCACGTATGAAAGACAAACTGAGATATCGGTATCCTCGTGGAGAATCTTATTTAGATGTTATCCAAAGGTTTGTAGTATACAGCTACAATATACAATTTCTTGTTAACCAACCTGTTCGGTAGAATTTAACTTACACTGCAAATGCAGGCTAGAGCCAGTAATCATTGAACTCGAACGACAACGTGCACCTGTTGTGGTTATATCTCACCAGGTAGGTGATACACATGGCTTTAATATATGCTTAATCATCGTCTTCTTCCCCTTCTTCTTTCTGTATAATTAAATGCTTGTTTATTGTTTCATTGTTGTAGGCTGTTTTGAGAGCATTGTATGCTTACTTTGCCGATAGGCCTCTGAAAGAGGTTCCACACATTGAGGTTATTGCTTCTGTTTCGTGCATTTCTTGTATTCTATTGTTGCCTGCTTCCCTGAACATTCCGAGTCACTTACCCATCGTTATTATCGGTTTGAAAAAAAAAAAAAAGGCCAAAGGCCAAATGCCCTTTACCCTTTTGTGCTCAAGTTACGCTTGGATAAGTTTTCTTCATGTCTAATCCATTTTTAATCCTCCTGAAATAAAAATCAATCACCTCTACCTTCGACACACCTTGAATTATATGAGTTATCTGATCCACCATACGAGCCCTAAAAGATCTGTCTTTCTTCGTTCATAAACTTAACGGTTTGCTTTAACTGATCTCATGAAGGTCTTACTGACAGCCATTTTTTCAATTTTCAGATGCCACTTCACACCATAATAGAGATTCAAATGGGAGTTACTGGCGTACAGGAGAAAAGATACAAGCTCATGGACTGAATATTCGCTACCCAAAACTTTTCGTTGTAAGGTTCCGGAAAATTTCCGTTTGCCTCAAATTATTTTCTCCGAATCTCCATTCATATCTCCATCTGTTGACACAATGTAGTATTAGCAGAAATGTCTCAACTGTATATCTATCTACAATAATAAGTAATCCAAACTCTTACCAACGTAGTGATTTCACTATTGGCTCCTGTTATTCTTACCATCTTACCAAAGTATGTAAGGTTTTCTTGTATTAATTCTTTGGTTATCTAAATTATGATTTGAGTCTCTGGTTTAGTTACCAAAAAAGCCTAAGCGGTTTAAGCGAAGTTTCACTTCAGTTCTTATAGTTTGAATTGTTGCGATTTAACGCTTGTAGCTTACTGATTGTTACAGTTCAGGGACAATGATTTAATTCTAATTCCGTTGAAAAGTGACGAAATTAAACCATTGTCCTTGAATTGCAGTAATTAGTAAACAAGAGGTGTTAAACGACAATAGTTTACCGGAACCAAAGTGGAACATTGTCAAATTACAAAGACCAAAAACATACATAGGCATTTTAAAAATCAAGAGAGGTAAACACAGTGATTTCAAACGGGTCAAATTTCCCTCTCACTCTTCTGTACGCTCACTACCCTAGTAGCAAAAGATTTATTGGCTCTGCAATCGCCCAGAATTTTGCAATGTCGGGGTCCTGCTCTATGTGAACAATGTGATGATGAAACAAGGCCAAGTGTGTGACTGTGTGTGTATGGGTCAAGGACTCAAAAGGGGTCACCAGCCACAGAGCCTGCACCTACCTCCAAAGGGCCAAACCCTAAAACTGACCAGCCATCCCCAAAACAGTGCTTGTGGGGAGCAACAGAAAAAAGGTCTGTTTGGTTTCACATGGGAACCCTGATTTGTGAAATAATTGACCCCTGAGAAAGATTCTTCCCCAATTCTTCTGTCCTCAGTCTTCCTGCCATGAACAAAAACACCCCAAGAAAAGATTATTAGGAAGAGATTATCCTGAGGTTATTAGGTTGATTTGATCAATCAAATTCTTTTTGTTTAGGTTTCTACTTTTGGACTCTCTGTCACCTTATATTTTTTGCACAATGTTTCGTAATATTGGCACAAGAATTGTTGCTGAACTGTGAGGTGACAGAGAGTCCTATGGAGAGTCTCATTTTGAAAGAGTATCCTTGGCATTTCTCATCTATAAATGCACATTTGCAGGGAACATGAAAGTTATGGACTTAATATTATACTTTGTTGGAAAATTGAGTCAAATTTGAAGTCAAAAGTTATATTTGACTCGTCTTCTATGTGCATTGGAGATGACATTAAAATGAGAAAGTCATGAATTAGGAAGGAAAATAAGGAATGTGTATGGGGATCAATTAGCCTCTATAGTTAATTTAATTCTTGATTTTTCAAGTATTATATTATGAAACTTAAGGTGAAATTCACATTTTTTGTATTCTATATATGTTAGTAAACAAACATGAAAGTCAGAAATTCAAGCAATTTCAGTATTCATGATTTAGCAAACGCATGAAGAACATAAATATTCAATTACGGTTATTATGATTTAAATACTGATGAAGGAATATAAATAATTCAAGTATGCAAGGAAGAGTATAAATAATTCATGTTTTATGAACGAGTTCGATTATGATGTTTGTACGATTAAGATATATTAATTGTAAGTGGATAAACAAATATGTTCTTCCATGAGGAAAACACAAGCATTACTCTAAAACAATACACTCAAAAAGTTAACGAATGTAAAATTAAAGCGCTCGTTACAGTACACTAATAGTCTATTTGGCCATAAATACTTGTTGTATATCTATAATTCACATGCATTAATACCTGACAGTCATCTACATGCACAAGGGTAAAAGCTCTCAAAGGGCAAGCCTCTTTTAGTTCGCAGAATCACAATGAAGAAATGTCCGTAAATAATCATGCGATTTCGAGGCGTTGACGCATTTGTGAGACGCAGTTACTTCTAACTTTCTATAAATTATTGTAGAAAGAATAAAGGGTTAAATATGAAAGCACTAAAAATCAAATGAAAGAAATGTGGTTAATTGATTCGATAAATCTCAAGGGTCTCGGGATTCCACTACCTCCACTAAAGAAATAGCACATGAATCCTCTCCCACCTCCGCTGCCGTCGCCTTCACCAGTCTAACATGCATTGAGTTCCCCTTCTCATTCAAAGATTTTTCTGATGTACTCGGAATACAGACACATACATCATTTGTTATTATATAAATGAAGTTGTGGAGAAAAGTATTTTTTAAGTATCATCCACTTAAATAATGACATGTAACATATGTGTCTATGTTCCGTGTAAGCTAAAAAATCTATTCTTTCCATTTCCCTTGGCCTTGGATATAGGGATCTTCCCTTGACTTAAAACCACGACTTCACCCGTTCCCTTAATATTATTGTATTCAAAGCATCAACCTACTTGAAAACTATGAGAATTTTTGTATTGTGACGGGAACACGGGTGGTACACCACATATTTTTATGTAAGTATTGAGAAATTTTACTTTTTAAGTTATTAACTTTTTAACATACATATCCCACCATTTGTATAATGACACGTGATATACCACCTCGTGTGTCGGTCACACTGAAAAATCTCTCCATTACATGCAAATGTGGGAGTAGGGCAAGGGCAACCAAGTGTCCGCAAACCCACCATTTTAATCCCATTAAAACAAGGGAAACCCTTTTTTCTTCGTCTTCACGTCAGCTCCTTCTCACCCATGTTCACGGAAATATAGAAACAAAAGGTCACTCAAGATGGGACAGAGATCCTCTCTGGATCTCTCCCTCCAAAGCCCAAGGATCGTGATCCGGGTCTTTGAAATTTTAGCCGTTTGATCAAATTTCAAAGGTCCGGATCACTTGATCATTGGACTTTGGTGAGAGAGATCTGGAGAGGATCTCTTTCCACTAAAGATGAAGTCGTTTGGCTGCATTTTATAATCTAATTATATCTCATTCATTCACGGGAAATATTATATTGGTTAAATTTATTTGTTTAAATTTGTTCACTGTCACTCTATACTACGGTCTTGTGGTATTCATCTTCACTTGTAAATGAAAAATCTTATGTTCGAATCTCGTCCGAACTCCACCTCTCTTTAGTGTAAAATATATTGTTGTAATAAAACAAAAATTGTTCACTAAATGATGTATAAGATAGTTATTTCGTAAACGAGCTTAAATTGTGCTGACGGCAATATATTCACATGTGTTCATGAGTGATTGTCAATTATTAATACATTGTGAGATTGAATTACATCAACTCTAGAAATGTCTTTAACACATAAAGTTTGGCGAGTATAGGATTACTTGTAAAAATTTTGCTAACCAAATGATGTCACGAGACATATTTAGCATCGGATCTATATGGTTTATAGTTAGCCCAAATTTGATAAATCGAAAAGTTGAGGTAGCAACTAATATTCATCCGCACAAATAGCTGTTAAACGTTGATGCTTATAAACTCACTTGCATGCATTAATGAATGACACTCATTCACAAATACATAGATAGTTGTGTTTGATATGACACATCTTTGACGAATGGAATCTAGTAAGTCTAGCATCACTCCTCTGCTTTTATTTTTCCGAAACACTAAAAAAACTTTTAAAAGTAAAACTCTTAATAGACTTTTCGTCCTCTTATATTTATGGTACAATTTCTATGTCAATATTATAAAATAAGATGCTAAAAAAATGAGATGGTGGAAAGTCCCCACTTTTAAGAGTTTTCTTAGCATTTTCCTTTTATTTTTTTGGGTAATTGGTAGCACTTTCATTCGGAGTAGAATTTTCTTCCCTTTTTTTTCCTCTTATTTAAACAGTTACTGTTAAATCACGTCAACATTTTATATTAATTTTTTTATAACAAGAGAAGGACAGAATAAGAAAATGTGAAAAGAAGAAATGAAAAAAAAGAGAGAATCCTAATCCCTTTCATTCATTTCTTCACTGACTCAATCATATGACCCATTATATCTACCTTTTCAGTTTTCCCTTCTCACCCATAGGTCCCTTCAATTACTTGCACTATCTCAGCAAAAACTCCAATCCATAATAATGTTCAGTCCCAACAACTCCACCACCAACCCCTTCGAACAACTCGCCGCCTTGGTCTCTCTTCTCATACGACGGCAATGTCATGCTCGCCGCCTTGGTCTCTCTTCTTCTCGTCATTCTCTTCGTCCTCATCCTCCACATCTACGCCAAGTGGCTCTTAGCTCAAGCCCACCACCGCCGCCGGGGAAGCTCTGTCACCGTCTCTCAGGTCCTCGGTCCCAACCGCTTCCAGAACTTCCACACCTTCACATTGGACACAAACTCGGCCAACATTAACAATATTTCGGGCTCTGGTTCATCCAAGGGCCTCGACTCGAAAACCATCTCCGCCATTCCTTTGTTCGTGTACAAAACAGGGGAGTTGCCGGAGATGGCGGAGGAGGAGAGTTGTAAAAATGGGGTTTTGGAGATGGAGTGTGTGATTTGTCTGAGTCTGTTCGAGGACAACGACGTGGGGAGGAGTTTGCCAAAATGCGGTCACTGTTTTCATGTCGAGTGTATTGATATGTGGCTGGGTTCTCACAAGAACTGTCCAATTTGCAGAGCTCCGACGGTGGTTGAAACGACGTCAGATCGGGTTGCGGGCGAAGAGGAATCGGTTATCATTGATGTTTTGGATTCTGGGTATGTTTCAAATCGCGGTCTTGTTAATGTTGGAGTGATGGGTACTGATTCCGAATCGACATCTTCGTCTTCTCCTTCGTCTTCATCGTCATCGCCATTAATGGTGGGGTGTTCACTGAAGAGAATGCTGAGCAGAAATAGGCCGGAAACTAGCAAGGTTTTCCCAACCACTAATGGGCTTGACCAAGCAGATGCTTGAGTAACTGTTGTAAGTTTTAACTTTCTCGCGTAACAGGACGTGATTAACTTAATATATTATCACAATGTCGTTCACCTTGCACGATAAAAGTTCTTATCGAGGATCAGAGAGTAGAGAGAGGGTTCTGTGGTTGGTTTGTAAACCAAATTTGTACAGATTTCTAGCAAGTATACATCGATTTTTTTTTTTGTCATATTTTTGGAGCGTATCAGAAATGCCTTTTGTTGACGTTATTGAATGATTTGTTCATACCTCTCCGGTTGTTAGTGTTTTTCTGATGCGACTTGTGCTAAAAACTTTGGGTCGGTTTTGATATGAAAAGGCATGGTGTCAAAGATTTTGGATGTGACATTTACAAATAGTGTATAGTTAAATGGGGTAACAAACAAACAAGGATGCCAATTTGTAGTTTTCAGGCACAATTCCGCGAAGTGAAAAGGAGAGAGTATTAGAAAAAGTAAGCTAGATTAGAGTCATGTTTGTAATCCATATCGTATTTGTAAGGAGTCATCAATTTGCACACAACTAACGTCAAGGTTTTTTTGTAGAGCATCATACTAGTTTGATGTCGTTAGTGGATAATCTAACGAACTTGTGGCTTCCACCATCGTGTGTCTAATGTTATAGTGTGGCGGCCAGACCAAATACTCACTCCTAAGCTAAGGGGAACACCGACATACTTAGTGTCTCTAGGTACACAAAAATCCCCAATGGACTCATATTGGCTTCTCGACAATGCCTATAATAATACACTCAAAGATTTGGAGTCTCTTGAATGATATATCAAAGCAGTGGGATGTAAAAATGCGTTTGTAGTGGAGTGTTCCGCCTAGAGGTAAGCATCCGTGAGCAGCGCTGGACCTAGTAGAAGCGAGAATGCAGCTTGAGTAACACAAACACTAGGTGAGAACCCAATCCTCCGAAACCCGGTGAGAATCCAATCCTCCGAAACCCAAACACAGGTTCGGCCACAAAGGGTGAGTCAAGGCTAAGATAAAGCCAAAAGACATAGTAGGCGTACAATAAGTGAATATTTTGGTTGGATGTATGAGGCGGTTATAGGAAAATTAGTGGGTTCATATTAAATCACAATTAATATTAGGAAAATAAGTTAGAATTAGAATAAGTACAAGAGTTCGATTCTCTTCATCGTAATTAAAGAAAAATCTAAACATGGAACTCATGCGATGATTTTAAAATTGAGTTGTGGAGTTTGTGAGTTTGAGCGAAGTCAAATTAAACTCATAGTGTTTCAAACATGTAAAATCCAAAATTAAAATAAATTTTGTTTGGAGCCCTAAGTTTGTCGGCATTACCAATAATAGGTGGGCAATGTAGATTGTACAGGGACTCATGTCCTTGACTGGAAGAGGCCCCACTATGGCCTGTGGGTGACGAAGACAAGAGAGTTGCTGTCAAGTCGTTCGTCCATGATTTCTGGTTAATGTTTTGGACCGTTGCATTGGCATGTCTCAAGGAAGAATAGTCAAGAAGAGAAACTCTTGTGAAATTGTGGTGGTGGCTCACTGTATGCTCTATGCTCTTACATTTAATACATATCCTTGCCTGGATTTCGGGTCCTGCTGCATTAAATTTTGGATGTTGTCCTTGTTTTGTGAATGAATCATGTTTTTATTGTTACATTTATCCCATTTTTTAACAAAAAAGAGGTACCGTTAAACTAATTGGACTAATAAAATGTTAATACAACGATGAATCGTGTTCTATATTCAACTAAGGAATGTTGAGTGCATGATGAAAAATTTAGAGTGTACATAGCACTATTTTGTTATGTGGCTAGAGATTTTGTAAATAAAATTGTTGATTTTGCAAAGAATTGTACATGGGGCCGTTCATATTCGTACCTAAAAAAGCAAAGAGAGACCATATTTTTAGCCATAGTTTTTAGACTACATGATGTGGTGATTGATGATCAGATACGTTCTTTAATGTTTCAACAAGAAATTCAATAATCAACTGTCACGTCATGTGTTCTACAAAATATAATTCAAGTAATAATTTTATTTTAGAAAATTCAACTATCAACTGTCACATATCAAATCTTGAAAAATCTGAATAGACAAGAACCGAGAGGCATGGTAAGGTCTTGGATTCTCAGAAGTATGGCTTTTGTTTAGTAGCCAAAATTGGGGGTTGGGCACGTGAATGAACGACAAAGGGAAAGGATTGTCACAATGGAACTTTTCACTCATCCTAGAAATTAATGTATATGACCTCTAAACCACTATTTCGGCTCCTTTTCAGATTTTGAAGGGATATTCAAAGAAAAATACTTTGATCATTCTCTTGAAAGTAGTCATTTCTAACTTTTACATTTCAATAACTATGTAACTGTTGACTTTAAAAATTACAAAGTCTACGTGATGTGTAGATTGAGTAAATATTGAGCTAACTACGTTATTCTTGTTAATGCGGACATGCCAACTCACAACGGAGGCTAGTTGGGCGAGTAGAGTAGATGTGGTGGTGGTGCTCGTTGCTGACTTCTTTACTTAGCAACTGTGGCCAATGAAGGAACGTCTCTTAGCGTAGGGTTTTAGAACTTGAAGGCAATGTTACTCAATTCTCTATGAAGTTCAAGATCTTCTGCTCTACGTTCGACATCTTAATTATATTCATGATAATATAAGTTCGCCGAATTGGTATCATGATGTAAGAGAAAATATACTCAAAGGAGATTAGTGTCTTTATCATGAATGTTGTTTGGCCGTTTGAATATCGAACTCGGAAATGCATTTGCGAGTAACCAATCATAGAACACTTCACTTCGACGGGGAAGCTAATTAAGTGACATCTTTCGGCTAAAGAATCAAAGACTCTTTGCTGGCTAAGACTTGGATAAGTGACCAACTGAACTAGAAGTAGTGTTGTTAACCAAACTGAAGATACTCCTATATTGATTAGTTCTATGGCTCTAGTGACGTTCCAACGAACTGAATATGTGCTTACATAAGGGTTAGGATAATTAGTATCTTTCTCAAGGTTGTGAGAAGGTTTAGCGTAGAGCAAGGTTCCGCGTAGAGCGTTTTGAGTTGTTTGTTGAGTTGAAGGGTTCTCTGCGTTGCAAAGCACAAATTCCACTTTTTATAGGCCCAAAAATTCTTTCACAAAATAATCCATCTTTTTTGGGTTTATTGGTTTTGTAATGAAAAGTAAACCACTTCTATATATAGGGAAGAGTTCAGTGATGACCAAGCATGCTGAGCTGTAAAATTATGATAATATTATATTTCCTTGGGATATTCTCTAAATATATTCGAAATTATTCTTGACCGAAAATCTATCGCCGCCTTCGACTAAGACTCTAAACCTAGATGAATTATGCGATTGATTCAACTGTTATTCTAAAACCAACTGATTCTTATATTTCTCTCATCCAACAACTTAGAATAGATGAGTCAAATGCATGCCAAAGCAGGTCCAAATAATAACATGTGAGTTTTTATTTTTATACTTTTAATGGTATATTTATGCTTGTGTGTCAAAGTGTGTATAGTAAGCTAATCCATAATATGCATACAAAAAGTATTGACTGTGAGAAGCCATTTACATGATCAAAGTTGAATGACGAAGTAGCAACGATCTTTCTTTTTTCCTAAAAGCCTTATGCACTCCTAGCCAATCTATAATATCCATACAAAAAGTACTGACTCTTAATATTTACACTTAGCACGACCATTCATAACCTAAGATAGATATTCTCATTGTATTATGACTTTACTTCACCTCAATTCAAGTAACGATGATAATCAAATAAAACTTGGGAACTTTAACGAAAGGATTCCGGTACTGTTTACTTTAACGAAAAACCATATTTTTACACTAAAAGTAATTCTGATACTATTCACTTTACCCTTTATTTTGTCTTTATCGTTAAAACTCAAAGTTTTCATGCCCTTTTCCTTAGTTTTCCTATAAAACTTTTCCTTATTGTTACCTTTTTCAATTATGAATCCTAAAAAGATGCAATCCCAATATTAGTCTTACATGTATATTGCAGATAAGACTTATTTAAAAAAAAAGGAGTTAATATTCAAATAAATATATATAGGGTATTGTTATCCACACATCATTTTTACTTTTCACATACTCCTCTCAATTTTTGACCATCGAATCGAAGAATTGAAGAGCTAGAATATCAAAGAACGGAAATTAACAATGGTGTGTGGATTGCACCACCCTATAAATTATATATAAGGTGAAGTGCTGATTTAGCCCATGAACTATCACCTCAGTGAAAATTAGGTCCCTCAATTATTTTTTTAGTAAAATAAGTCCCTAAATTAATTAAAATTGCTAATTTCATCCCTACTATTATATTCAAAGCTATTTTACCTATTTTTTTGTCAACTTAAGTCAATTGACTCATTTTAGAGTGTAATTCCGTTCTTTTCTCGCCTATAAGCACTTAATATTTCATATAAGTTGCAATTTAACGTCTAATTACCCTCCAAAGTTAACTTCACATACTATTTCTTTATGTAAAATTACCATATCTACCCTCCAATGTGTATTACATGCAAGTAATATGACTTAAATTGACAGAAAATTGAATATGATAGCTTCTAATATAACATAATTAGGGATGTAAATGACATATTTTTATAATTTAAGTACTAATTTTTTTCAAGAAAAAAAAAGTTTAAAGACCTAATTTTCACTTAAGTGATATTCAAGAATTAAATTCGCAGTTCACCCATATATAATATATATATTGAATAAGTGAGCACATGCATAAAAGTTGTCATGCAATGTTAGTACAAGCTTAAGTAACTAATTTATCATCCCTAGTGTGTTCAAATATGATATGTGTGTGTGTTTGTGTGGCAAGCTCTTGCACGTTGTCAATTCAGCACCCATTGACTCAAGGGCCATGAGCCATTTTGCCGTCGTAGTCATCACCAATACATCGCAGGATTCATCATGATAGGGGGTTTTTTGCTCATGGAGCTATATTTTTTATTAGAGATTTCAATCCGGATCAGAATGAGAATAATGTATTGGCAAGAATGTTAGACCATAAAGAAGTTATCATATCCCATTTAAGTTGGGCCAGTCTCTTTTTAGGGTTCCATACTTTTGGACTTTATGTGTATAATGATGTCATGCTTGCTTTTGGTACTCTGGAGAAGTAAATCTTGATCGAACCTATATTTGCCCAATGGATACAATTTGCTCATGGTAAAACTTCATATGGGTTCGATGTACTTTTATCTTCAACGAATGGTCCAGCGTTCAATGCGGGTCGAAGCATATGGTTACCTAGTTGGTTAAATGCTATTAATGAGAATAGTAATTCACTATTCTTATCAATAGGACGTGGAGATTTCTTGGTTCATCATGCCATTGCTCTAGGTTTACATATAACTACATTGATATTAGTAAAAGGTGCTTTAGATGCACGTGGTTCCAAGTTAATGCCAAATAAAAAATATTTGGTTACAATTTTCCTTGCGATGGTCCGGGACGAGGTGGGACTTGTGATATTTCGGCTTGGGACACATTTTATTTGGCAATTTTTTGTATGTTAAATATGATTGGATGAGTTACTTTTTATTAGCATTGGAAGCACATCACATTATGGCAGGGTAACGTTTCACAGTTTAATGAGTCTTCCACTTATTTGATGGGATGGTTAAGAGATTATCTATGGTTAAACTCTTCACAACTTATCAATGGATATAACCCTTTTGGTATGAATAGTTTATCAATCTGGGTGTGGATGTTCTTATTTGGACATCTTGTTTGGGCTACGGGATTTATGTTCTTAATTTCCTGGCGTGGATATTGGCAAGAATTGATTGAAACTTTAGCATGGGCTCATGAACACACACCTTTGGCTAATTTGATTCGATGGAGAGATAAACCGGTGGCTCTTTCCATTGTGCAAGCAAGATTGGTTGGATTAGCCCACTTTTCTGTTGGATATATATTTACTTATGCGGCTTTCTTGATTGCCTCTACATCGGGCAAATTTGGTTAATTATTTATTTTATGTGGTGTATCCACGATAATATCATACCATTTCTTTCAATGGAGAAGGGATCTACCTTCTTATATTTCTACATCTAGGATCTGAATTGTATCATTGATACTAATAGGAATTGAACCCTTATGGCAAGAAAAAGTTTGATTCAGTGGGAGAAGAAGAGACAAAAATTGGAAAGAAAAAAAAATCATTTGATTCGTCAATCCTCAAAAAAAAGAAATAAGCAAAGTTCCGTCGTTGAGCGAGAAATGGGAAATTCATGGAAAGTTACAATCCCCACCACGTAATAGTGCACCTACATGCCTTCATCGACGTTGTTTTTTTGACCAGAAGACCAAGAGCTAACTATCGAGACTTTGGGTTATGCACATACTTCGTGAAATGGTTCGTGCATGTTTGTTGTCGGGGGCAACAAGATCAAGTTGGTAAGGATTAAAATATCCATTTTCTATTAATTTCTCTGATCATAGAGGGGTCTCTTTACCATTATGTATAAATAGGCTATCCTATTTGTAAGGATATGGTAGAGGGGCGCATTCAATCCTTGTTTGTCCATTAATTCTCAGTTCTTCTATGCATCACATGGTAGAGTAGCATGGTAGCTCGCAAGGCTCATAACCTTGAGGTCACGGGCTCAAATTAAATTTCATTTTTTAAAACTTATTATAGTTATAGAATAATAATACAATTGTACATATTTAATATACAATATATACAATCCATATTTAATAAATAATACATATTTACATCTATTTATTTTAATTTAATATTTTTCATTTATATATATTTTACAATACAAAAACACACAAGTTTGACCCCCCCCCCTCTAATTTTTCTAATTTTTTTCTTTATTTGAATTTTTGGGACTTATATTGAATTTTAATGTGTCTCACAACCTAAAGGAATTGGGAGGGGGATCATTTCATTTTTGGATATAGAACGAATAGGTTCAAGAGATGAGAGAATTAAGGATACCCACCAGAAAGACTAATCCAATCCATAATGATGTGTTGGAAAATAGAACATTTTTGTTATCCGACCAACCCTTAGGAGAAGCAAATACAATAGGTACACTAATCAGTAAGATTAATGAAGTAGCAATTAATGCAAAAACAGCCAACTGGAAAGCAATAGTCATGTTTCTAATCTTCCAATCTACCAACAAAAGAATTATACCATTTGATCCCTTTATCAGCCCAAAAATTGTAAAAAAATAAAAAAAAATAAAAAAAGCATCATGTAAGGATTTTACCATGAATCCATTCTTTTTTTTTTAACTTACAAAGGGGCATGCTTGCTGGATCATGCATCTATATTATATATATACATAATAGATAGACCTATAGATTCACACCCGATATCTTTCTATAGATAGTAATGGTATCAACTCATATGTCCATGTTCTATGAGGTGGAATAAAAATAAAATATGGGATAAAAATAAAAATAGAAATTATCTTTAGGAGAGATGGCCAAGTGGTTGATAGCTCCCGGTTTGAAACCAGTATAGTTTGAAAACAAAGAACTATCAAGGGTTCGAATCCCTCTCTCTCCTTTATACTTGGTGAATAGATTTGTTGCTTTTCTTTATTTTATTGGTTTTGCCCGGCTCAGTAGCGTAGCATAAAAGAAATTGGTAGAATAAAAAGGAAATAGCTCGGCTAAGTGGGATAGCCGAGCCAGAAAAAAAAAAAGATTAGAATATTATAAATGAGTTGAAAAGAAAGAATACTTTTAACATATGACCTGATCCACCATACATATTAAGTTTGGTGGAATCAATTTGATTCCTACTTCAAGCATTGGATCTCTGTCTCAGTTAAGAGGAGTCATGGAAAGAACAGGTTAAAAATCACGACCAATTCCTTTTTCAAATCCTGTTGTAGCTGCACGAGCCCTTCCCACGTGCCATAAATGACCTATGAATAGGAAGAATCCTAGAACAAAATGAGAAGTAGCTAACTAACTTCTAGGAGAAACATAATTTACTGCGTTGATCTCGGTAGCTACGCCACCCATGGAATTTAAAGAACCTAAAGGAGCATGAGTCATATATTCCGCAGAACATCGTTCTTGCCAAGGCTGTATGTCTTTTTTCAACCTACTCAAGTCCAAACCATTAGGACCCCTTAAGGGTTCTAACTAGGGAGCACGCAGATCCCAAAAACACATAGTTTCTCCTCCAAAAATAACTTCCCCGGTCGGCAAACGCATTAGATATTTACCTAAACCGGTAGGTCCTTGAGCAGACATGTATTGCTGTTTGAAGACACTGATGAGTAACTGAGTGATTGAGGTAAGCAAAATGAAATATTTGTAGCTCACGACTGAAATAATATGCAACACTGCATCAGAGATCATGTACTCATTTCTCTCTTTTCACAAATGCATGAATTAAATGGCAATAGAATTACGCGAAAGTATAATTACGTACATGCAAAACATGAGTAAATTTTGCATAAAACTCAGTCTCAAAGTTATCCAGTCATATATGTACGCAGAATCTGGAAGAGAATGATTCATTGAAGAGATCATTTTATCTAGCTGCAAAGTGGGACTCTCAGCCATTGGCGACGCCCATGGGCCGTTGTAGTTCATGGTAGAAAGACGAAGGTATCTACGGTCTTGTATTTGATTCTCTTTTTACAAAATGCATATATGAGATGGCAATAGAATTACACAAAAATACGAATTATCTATAACAGATCATAAGGGTGAATTTTGTATAAAACCTGTAATTATTATAAAATTAAATTGTGTAATTATCCAGTCATATACATGAAAATATTATGATATAAAATCGATGAGGAGGTCATATTATTAACTAAAGAGAGGTGATGACTCGGAGGGACAATCTACAAAGCGGGCAGCTAGACTGAACGGTCAGCCACTTATCCACACACTCAGAATGATATGTATGTTGGCACTTTGGCAACACCTTAACCTTCTCTTCTCCTTCAAAAACTCCAAGACAAATACAACACTCAATATCAATGGTTTCAACATCAAGAACAATACTAGGGTTAGCTATTACCACCGATCGATGCAAGACAACCGGCAAGTTATCAATGGCGGCAGCATCGAGCCCTAGCGACTGATGAACTTGTGGCAAAGATGCAATATTTGTAGCCCTAGAGGTTGTTGTTGAGAGACGACCTCTGATACAAGCCCAACGAGCATAGAAGGATAGGGTAGTGATGATGAAGATCAGAGAGAAGAAGAAGAGGACTAGTAAGAGTCCTCGGCTGTCGATGTGGAAGTTGGAGTGGTTGAGATCACTGAAATGCCACTCAAAGAGTGGTGATTTTTCGGACGCCATTAAAATTGGAAAAGAGGTTTTGATGAGTTTTTAGTGGGTTCTCTTGGACTTAATGGTGGTGTTGGTGTGGGTTGTGACGGTGAGGGCTGTGTGCTTTTGGTACCCTTCGGGCATGTTGAGGAGTACTTTTGTAGCATAACGAACGGTCATAAGCACTTTTGTTAAAAGTACTGTCATTAAAAGCACGTTTAACTTTTTTTTCTGTTAAAAAACTAGGAGTAGCCGAAGTTGAAGGAAAGTAGGAGTATCCGAAGTTGAAGGAAAGATGAGAGAAAATCGGTTACGGTGGTTTGGACATGTGCAAAGAAGGCCTACTGACGCTCCGGTTCGAAGATGTGAATACGAGACAGAGGTTCGGGGCCGAGGGGGTAGAGGAAGACCTAGGAAAACTTTGGAAGAGACCCTAAGAAAAGACTTAGAGTACTTGGATCTAACGGAGGACATGACACAAAACCGAGCGCAATGGCTTTCTATGATTCATATAGCCGACCCCACTTAGTGGGAAAAGGCTTTGTTGTTGTTGTTGTTGTAAAAAACTATCACAAAAGCTTTCAATCATACAAAACGGGATGACTTGTCATATATCCAGGGGGATAGAATAGAGACTAGTTTAATTAGAAGTATGGGCTGGCAGTTCACGGGGTTAGGTGGTTGTGAGCATTAGTGTTTGTGCAACGTCTCAATATTGAACTACTTGCATGTCCTACTTCTGTGTTACGTCAGTCATAAATGAGTATCAATATATGGATATATATGGATGATCGAATGAATTGAAAATAATTGAATGACATAAATTAGCATGAGATGTGTAAAAGATAAAAAGAAATGTGTAAATAACACCACCCATAACATATTGCAACTTTTACGTGCTTTCACATCAAGCTCTTTGGCAACTTCTGCTAGCTTTCACTTCAAGCTCTTTTTGTTTTCCAGCTCACTCATTTGATTAATAAAGTGAGTGTTATACATTTAACAATGTTATTTAGGCACGCAAAGTTGGCCGCATCCCTGAGACTGTTTCTATGGTTTAAGCATTGTATTGAATTTATTATTGTCTGGCCAAAGCTAAGAAATTATATTTTGAATTTATAGGAAAAAAGAGCTTTCCAACAGGCAAATTTTCTCCAATGCACATCAAAAGTCCACACTTAAGTTGTTTATTTGAAGTCGTTAAATTTGATTAAGTTAAATGATATTCCCATTCGATTATCTGAACAACAATATTTAGGCCTCTTTTAACAAAATTGTGTTTAATTTGGTAGACACATCATATTCGGCCAAGTTTTTCCTTTCTGGGACAAAATATTGGGTCAAGTTCAATGTTGGGTAGAACTTAAAAATTGGCACTTTACGGGCCCACTTTATATTCACAAAGAAAGGATCAGGGGTCCAAAAATATTGAAAAAATAAATAAACAGAATTGGTCCCGGCGGGGCTCGAACCCGCGACCTTCGGCTCATAAGACCAACGCTCTAACCAACTGAGCTACGGGACCAATTTGTTGTTTATTTCTCCAATGCCAGTTATATCCGATTATGTCGTCACGCAATTTGAAATCCAAACAAGTAATCTAATTGTAGCAATCTCGGGTCCAATTTGCAGCCTTGATCCACATCAAAACTGGTTTCGAAAACAACTCCTGGAAGCAACTGTAATCGCACAAAATTACTATATTATGCATCCTTATGTGTTCTATATCAACCACTGATATAGGTAAGGGCTTTGTTTTTAAATAATTTGATTTGAAGTGCTCAAAGGCGACCTCATTCCAAAAGGCTTCTCATTGTGAGAGGAACGGAAAAGAACATTTATCGTTCGCAACCTTATCTTTACTTTGCTGTTTTCACTAATTAATTCACTGATCACCAAACAAAGTTACAAGCACTCAATTAATTACACGTTTGCAAGATGCATAGATCAACAACATCTGCATTGTGTTGCTCGATCATATAAAAATTCATCTAATTATCAATCTCATCCATCTCTTTAAGCGAAATTCCAAAAATCCAACATAACTGTATCGATTCTATTGAATATAGAGAAAGAGTATAACAATTGAAATTAAACGTTTGGTCACAAAGTAGATACAAATAAATAACCAAATATCATGATAGAGTGATAACATAAACTTTTTTTTTTTTTTTTTTTTTTTTATGAGAAACGATAGCGGTATTTCATTGATCATCACAAATAAATGCATGGGTGCCAATTTGGTACATTGCTCCAGAGACTAGCACATATCTAGAGTAAATTTGCATAAACAAGCAATTAATTAAAACCCTAACACAGAACGATAGACGCGACAAACCTATACTAGTGCACGCATCGATCTTTGCTGATGTGTGAGGCCACACAATGTCGTCGTTGGAGAGCTAGGCCATATAAAATCATTGTTGAAAGGTAAGACCACATAAAATCATTGATGAAAGGCGAGCCCATAAAATCATTGATGAAAGGCGAGACCACATAGAATCATAGCTCGAAGGCGAAACCATATCAAGTTGTCGCTCAAAGACGAGACCACATCACCCGCTAACGCGGCACAAACAAAACCTACCGTTATCCGAGAAGAGAATCCACCGAACCGGGGCACAACAAAACTTACACTAATCCGCTAATGGTAGGGAGATAACAGAAACTTAAAAGTACTTCCTTTAGTGAAACACAGAGTGAAGCTTTGTGCTAATGTTGTCAATCTAAATGCCATATGCGTGCTTCTGGTGGTTAAACCATATAGCCTCCATCTTTCAATGATGTTTTAAAAGGTGGCATTATTTTTGTTTTTGAGGGAGAAGTAGGATTAAGTTCAAGTTCCAGGGAGAATGCAAAAATAAGTGTATAGTTTATGTCAATTTTTTTTTTTTTTTTGGTTTATTAGTAAAGAGATTAATGCAAAGGAAACCAGAATTTGAGAGAAATCTCAAAGAGTTATTTGATTAAAGATTGAACTGATAAGAGTACATACACAGCTAAATGGCTTATAAAGACACTAAAAGGAAAACCCTAGAGTTCTTTAAAAATTAAAAACAAGATAATACGGACAATAATTGAAAGGTTTGATTTTTATTACATAATTTCAAATGTTGTTTTAAAGTCCTAAACGAAATGACTAAAATCCATCATACGTTATGCATAATAAACCAAAGGTCATCGTCCTCCTCTCTAAAAGCCCATAGATGCACCTTCCCACCTTGAACAAATCTCTCCCTTCTCACGATCTGTTTCCAACCATCTGTTAAGCAAAACCCATGATTGTCCAACTGGCGTAGGGTGAATCTTTCTTGCACAAGCGAAGGCCCATGAAAAGTACTTCCAAGTTTCTTGGTAATGTCTTCACCACATAAGTATTCAGTTGTCGGGAACAGCGCTATAGGCAGAAAATCTTTGCTTATATATTACGTCTTCTTGTTGTGAAATCGAGTGTGTATTTTTTTTGTACCAATACCTTTATTTATAGTAAATAGTAAAAAGAGAGAAATTTGTTCCTTAATTAATACAAAATCTAATAAGAAAGAATCGCTATAGTAAAAATTAATTTTAACTCCAAATTACCTAAGATTTACCCAATCACACATATGTTAAATCTATTCTATTAAGAGAAGAGGGCTTGTCAACTTTTTGCCCAATTTTCTTCCAATTTTGCCCTCACTTATACACAATGTTGACATGAGGAGGGCAAAATAGTAATTTTGTATCTTTTGATTTTTTTTTCCTATTTTACCCTCGCTTTTGATACACAATATTTACATAAGGAGGGCAAAATAATAATTTTGTATCAAAATATTTACATAAGATAAAAATATGCACTTATTAAGAAAAATTGTTGTGAACACGAAAAATTCCTGAAACGAAAGAGACAAGAACCACGTGCACAAAATAATATTTTGTATTTGATGATTTTGGGTTACAATCTCTCTATCTTGATCCTCTGATTCAATCTCCGTAAGGTATTGATTTGTGGATGTGCGATTGATCCAAAGGGCCGTTGGGCTTGATCTAAGGATGAACGTTCTTCAAGGGCCGTGGGCTTGATCTTGAAGGTGGATTTGAGCAGATCTTCAAGGAGCCGTTGGGGCTTGATCTTGAGGATGAGCGTTTATTCAAGGGCCGTTGAGGCTTGATCTTGAATAAAGGTGATGAACGGATTTTCAAGGGCTTTTGGGCTTGATCTTGAAGAACAATGATTGGATGTATGGATTTGTCGACGTTTGTTGATCCAAAGGGCCGTTGGGGCTTGATCTTAGGATGAACGGATGATGAACGAAGAACGAAGAACAATTTCTTCAAGGGCCGTCGGGGCTTGATCTTGAATTGGTGGATGATTGTTGATCCAAAGGGCCGTTGGGGCTTGATCTTAGATGAATGATGAACGAAGAACGAAGAAGGTTTTCTTCAAGGGCCATCGGGGCTTGATCTTAGATGAATGATGAAAGAAGAACGAAGAAGGCTTTCTTCAAGGGCCGTCGGGGCTTGATCTTGAAGGTGGATGATTGTTAATCCAAGGGCCGTCGGGGCTTGATCTTGGATGAATGATGAACGAAGAACGAAGAAGGCTTTCTTGATTCTTTGGGAACCTGGATGCTTGAGAGCTTCGGAGTTTCAGAGCTTCAGAGCTTCAGAATTTTGCCTAATGATTTTGGTTTTTTTTAAATGAATGAATTAGCCTTTTATTTATAGAAATTTCCAAGGCCTAATTTTGAATATAATATTCCAGATGAAATAAGTCGTTTCTGCCAGGTGTTGACACGTGTCCTGTTTAATGACTTTTCCAACTTATTTTGATTTTTTGTTTAGACACACGCTACGTGTAAAATTTATGTAATACATGAGCGTTGAAACTTTGATTTATCGGTCAACATTTATATACCGAAATTTCGATGTCTACAAATGCCCCCACTTCAAGACGCATTGTATACATGTGCTTGTCGCGTGTAAGAGATGCGTTTTGAAGTCCTTTAATGTAGATGTCAATCCAAGAGCCATCGAGGCTTGATCTTGAATTGGGCTGGAGATTTCTTCAAGGGCCGTCAAGGCTTGATCTTGAATTTGTTTGGAATTTCTTCAAGGGCCGTCGAGGCTTGATCTTGAAGGTTGAAATTGGACCACAAGGAGCTTCATGTGGTAGATGATCTTTGGCTTGGGTAGTGGATGAATCGGCACGTATT